ATAGAACCAATTATTTAATTCCCTGTTTTATTACTATATAATCAAACCTGTCTATAAAGGCCACAGAAGGGAGCAGGGGAAAGTTATCTTTATCAGTAAATGGCCTCAATATAGAGGTTAAATTACAATGTATTGCATCAGGAACCAAACCAAGTGGTCGTTATAGATAGGTAGTGGCCTTCATGACATGTTTCACTGTGTACTGAAATGTGTCTCATTTTATGTCTGGCAAGCATACAACTAAATGTTGTACATCAGCTAGTATTCTTTTCGAGTTTTTCGAGTTCGGATGGTTAAGTGTCGAGTGAGTGTTTTGGACCTTCTCCAGACGACCACTTTGAGTTTGACACTACACTATGAACAACGGAGAAGCAATTGGCGTTCTATTTTTTCTTAGCAACATTTCAGCTTTGTCACCTTAAGTGTGTTAAGTATCGCACGATGTTACCAAGTATACAATATATATCGAACAAGGTGGATATATGATAGGGCGTCTATATCTCGTCATATCTACTTGCGAAACTTGTTTTCGTTTGGACCGAATCGGTCATAAATTGGCTCTCTTTATAGGAGATGAACAAAGATAGTGCATTTCTTTTAACCAAATAATTGTATAAATTGTAGTGTAAAAAAACCGCACAAGTCAATAGCACTTTTTAATACAACTTCAGAGTTAGATAAAGCAGAGCCAACTAATAATTTAGACTGCGTCATACAGCTGTTTCGTCCTCCTAGGACTCGCCAGTGATGTTACGTCATACAGCTGTTTCGTCCTCCTAGGACTCGCCAGTGATGTTACATCATACAGCTGTTTCGTCCTCCTAGGACTCGCCAGTGATGCTAAGGGCCGCAATTTTAAAGCCTGTGAGGTGACTGAGGCAAAATACAGCATGATCGAAAGAAAAGTAAGTAAGTAACGCAATGACATGTCGAGTAAAGTAAAAGACATTTATTACCATAATGAGCTCTTTTCCTACATTAACAAAAAATCTAGTGAAAGAGAGGCTAAGTGTGCGACTTCTGACATAGATTTTATAACCTTTTGACAGGTACTGGGAACACGTGATCAAAGGTCAAATGGATATCTAGAATCAACAGAGAAAATATGATGCCTTCAGAATCAAAACCCAAACTCTAATTGGATGAAACTAGTCCAAATAACGAAAGATTTGTACGGATACCCCTTGTAAAAGTACAAGGAGAATAAGACCAGGTGTTCCGGAACAGAAATCGTCTTTTCCTTTATCGACAACACACGTTTGCAAATATTGTCCAATCCGAATATGTAATGTCACTTTCAAAATTTGAAAAAAAATAGTTTGAAACGTCAACTTGTTTCTGAAAGACAAACTTGCCGGTATCTGTTTTGATTTTTCTTCTCAACAAAATTATGATTTACCAAACTGAATTATGGCTGCTTCAATCATGTACAGTTATGTAATTTGTATTTTGTAGCAAAAATATTGATTTTCAGTAGTTAAGTATTGAATAATACATCTAACATCAATTGTATATTGAGAATAAGTACTGCGATAATTTTCCTTTGAGATAATTCAGTTTCTCTAACATCAAGGTAGTTATATAGGTTACGGAAGGATGTGTATAAGAAAATGTGTTTATGTTGCTTATTTTCTTTGTCGGTACAAAGGAGAAATGTAAATTATTCCAAAACATATCTGGTTAAATATGTATGTTAAAAATTCCGATCTGTTTCTACACATGAAATACATACATGCCGAACGAAATCAAACAATTTTTTATGATGCACCTTGTTTGTAAAATAAATGTGACCTTTGGCTTGGTTAAGACGTCGGATCGTCTCTTTCACTAGCCCTATACCTCGAGGTCCCGAGTTCGAGACCTACGTGAGACATTTACCAGGCAATGGCCGCAGGTCCTCCAGGAACTCCGGCTTTCCTCCACTAACGAAACATGGCACGTCTTTATGTAACCCTGGTTGTTGATAGGACGTAAAGCAACAACAAACAAGTAAATAAAAAAAAAAACCGTTTGACTTTGTGTTGAGCGTCCGTCCAAGTCAGAAAGTGTCCAAATTATGACAATTCAGTATGATAAAACTACAAAGGCGTGCTACAGTGACCCCCCCCTTTAATACAAGATACCTCTTCATATTACAAATGGTTGTTGCGAGAACATACCAACAAATGGTAGATCAAATTGTATTTATTTTCTAGATTTTGAATGAAATGAAGTCTACGAAACCACTGAATATTGTCTATCTTTTTTTTGTGTGATCAATTCAATCATAATAACGAAATGTGATTAATGGGATTACCAACATCTTAATAAAATCGTAATTAAAAACTCAAAAATTATAAAATGAAGAGCAAATATGAATAAAGGAGATATGTAAAGTGGATCTTCGAAAAAAAAAAACTCCGTGAAATTGGACCAGGTGTTCCAGAAGAGCATAGCGTCGACGATGTCCAACACCTTTAGTTAGGCCAATCAAAATCGTCATCCCCTCAAAATGAAAACCACCAGGCATACTTACTTTTATGTCACACAAGGAAAAAAATCGAAATGAGTAAATTATGGCAACCACGTAGTCCAATAATCTCCATTTGATATCTATCAACAACTTTAGTTTTTTTTATAATCACTGTTGATACAAAGGCAAATTTAAAAAATGTTTCATCATAAACGTTACACGATTTATCTATTTCCTGGAAGTCTTTATACGTTGTCGTCTGCAGGATGGCTTACAATTCTGGCTCATTCACTGCCGAAACATCTGATACCTTGTAAGAAAATAATAAAAGTCGATTACATCCGCTGAATTTCTCACCAATCTGACGCGCAATAACACCAGCTAACATGATTTTTTAATTCAACATTCGCAGCTTGGTGGCAGCACTGTCCTGGACATCTTAAAGATGACTTCCGCCAAGTTATAAACGGAGGACCCCAGCAGAAGAATCGGTCGTAAAATATTGCTCCGCAGAATTGTTATTCAAATAAGATATATCTTATCGGTGGAAATCAATATTACAGGTTGAATTTTTATTGTTTTTACTGCATAATACATGTGTTTTAGTAACATTTTTTACCAGAATAAAGATACACTATTTTACCCTCGTGGTTTCCTAGACTTGAATAAGGACGATTGCATATGCATATATAAATATCCAATCATATTTGATCGATCTAAAGTGAATAATCTGGTTACAGTACATGTTGTATTTGTCAGGATAACCATTCAATTTCTAGTCACGAAAGTATCAGCTGAAATCAATCAAATTTCTTGGACTACTTTCCACAAAAGTTGTTAAAACAAACGAAAATATTGAAGTCAATGTATTTCATGAAAGAGTATAAAAAATAATGAAGTTTAGTTCACAACTAGACAAAATGTGAACTGGACTATGATGAAGGAAAACTTACAACAATGATACAACATATTTTTGGAACAATTGGATCGGAATATTGCAACCGGAAGTGAAACTCTACTAGAATAGGTCGATGTTGACATAAACATTACACCTGTTTTGTAAAAGGTCAGCAGACATATATTGGCCCAAGGAGGATGTTTACTGAAAAATTAAAGAATATATACCGATATTACACGTTTATTCGAGTGTCCAAAAAGCAACTATATGTTGTTGTTGTTTTTTTTTTTTTTTTTAAATATTTCAACTGTTCTGTTTCTTAAAACATCGTTATCAACAACATCTATATAAATTTAAGTCAGTCCAAATCACGCATCAGTGTAAACTATGCATAATATGTATATATCTATTTGAAATTGATACATTTATGTACGAGGCAATCAGACATTTTCTTTTTTATTTGAAAGAAAAAAGTGCATGTTATTTTTTCATACCGTATAGCTGCTCTCTCCATCTAAGAATGATATTAAGATCCTAAAGTGTTGAGCACATTCTTCTAAATTCATAGTAAGATCAATCGTTACGACATCATCCTTATGAGACTATTGGTAAACGTATCATCGATATCAACGCTGTGAATACACAGGATGTGTGTTGAAACAGTCGGAACCAATTCCGTGTCTGCGACAGATACTGTAACTATTCAGCACAATGTCATAATTGTAGCTATTCACGCACTATGATATTTACGAGTAAAAACAAATACCAGTGTTGTGAAAATTTGATTTATTACGGTTCCTGGTTGAATTGAGATGAAGAACATGGGATTACGAGAAATCGATAGTCACCCTTGATACTGAGGGCGTCGTGCACTGGCGTCTCAGGGGGAAACAGATATACCAAAACGGTATCACCTGGTGCGTGATTCTACTGAACCTTAACACGGACAACCGTTCAATCATATAGCACAGGTTTATTGAACTTCAATCAAGCACGCTACCTATTTACACTGAAGCTGTAGAAGGTTGGAGAATTCTGTTTATGTAGACGATATAACTATGCGGAACACAAGATTTTGTACATATATGACAGTACGGTTTTCAATCAAATTCATTTTTAAAAAAATATCGTGTTCCCGTGTGGAATGAAGAAATTCAGCAGTTTGTATTTTACCAACAAATCACATCCGAGGAAGTAGATTGTTTTATGTTTATAAGAATTGATAACCTTAGCTGTTGTGTTTCGAGATGAAGTCATCTTCTATCACCATGTAAGCTTATCTACGAAGGATGGATTTTTTTTTGAAACCAAAAAAATATGAAGCCATTTTCTGTTTTACACCAAGCTGAATGAATAAATTCACCATTATCTTGTGGAGTGTGATACGATTCCTGGCTAAAACCAGCATACGAAAAACGCCGTTCTTTTCTGTACAGACGAAAGCTGACTACAACAACAGGTGTCCTTGTTAAAAAAGCTGGATCATTTTTGTTATTGTGTACGGAATGAGATACAGTGAAACAGGTTGTGCTTGAATATATTTGTTGTGAACCTGTGTACCACCGTAAACTGAATTAGTATCTGTTAAAGTATATTTAAGTAACGGTTCGGTACCATTAGACGGCGTGTCGTAAGGTGACAGAAGCAGAGATGTTCTTGGAATGTAGAATGAAAGTGTCCATACTGCTTATACACATCTGCTGCAGTCTAAGTCAGGACTGTTCCGCAGTTCTGTATGAAAACTACACAATTGGTGGGTACATAGCTTTTTTCTTATCAAATTGAAATAAGTTCAAGAAATTCGAGAAAAAGATTAAATAATATATTCAAATATATATATTTAGTGATATCTATATAAATATGCTTTAACTTTCATTTTCAATGGAGCCGTGCGTCCTCCATAATTAATGATCACACAAACGTCATCTATATGTTTGCTTCTTACGGTCTCGTATAATGAGAAGCATCAAAATGACATTGAGTTCATATCCATGTAATCAAAATGTCTTTTCAGTTATTCATTTGTAGTGCAAACATAATCAAAATTATGCTGTGCATGCCCATTATTACCAAAATCATGGACTCGATTGCTGAAAAACTAGTTTTATTTATTTGCATGAAACCAAAATAAGTTTTAAATTTAAAAAAAACTGTTCATCAACTTAAAATTTAATGGTGAAGTTTGTAATATGGTACACATTTGTGCTTTAGTAATCGATTTGAGCGTCGTTATTTTACGCAACTGAATGAATGAAGATCAAACCTAGTTCGATTTTTGACCGACAAACAGCTGCATCCATACATCATACGGACAACTTCTATTGTTTGTTTTGTTTCTCGTTCCTAACCACTGTTATTTGTGTTGGTGTATTTGTGTCCCTATTTCTCATTTGATGTCGCTTAGTTCCCTTTCTGCTGTGTTAGCATCCCCTTCCATCAACATTTTGTCTTCCCTCTTAGTTGTACTCATTACCTGGCTTCCAGTGGTGTATTTCCTGTTTTGTGATAAACCTCTTTTTTCACTTTTGTGACGATTATCCAAAATTATTTTTTTTCTGTTGTAGAAGTGCTCTTTAGGGTTGCTTTCCCTTTAGTTTTGGAGTGGATTGAGTTTTTGCTGTACGTTTTGTTTGATTTGAGTTTGGATCTTCGTATTTTAATATGTACTATCTGATATTGTTTCCCGATTTATGTTTTAAGACATTTACCTGAACTAGATTTCATGTAAGTAAATTACATATATATAATATCTGTGCCAGTTCAGCATTAGAACTGTGATATAACTCTCATCAAAACGATGGACGACTCCTGGTAGGGGAGGAGAGGTGGGAATGGCTAAAAGGCTATTTCACACGTTCAGAGATACCTGTGATTTAGTAAAGTAAGGGACGACAGCATCAGCCAGGTTTATCAATTATTTTATTAGATATAATCCCGTTCCTTAATTATCATTCATGGCGAACACCATACGTCGATATCACTGCTGTAATCCCGTGACAATATGATGAGACACAATGATATTATTGCAAGGGATCCGATGTTTAGGTATAATACGCTTTGATATCAATATTCGTCAATAGTACTGGCAGTGATCTCCTATTGATACAATAGACGAGGATATCATTATTATTATTCATTCCATACATAGTATTATTATCTATCACCGGAGTATTTGAGTTTAAAATGTGTATACAAATCTGATTCCAAACAATAGTATTTCAATGACACTTGTAGCTTGATATACGTGCATCTGTGGCTGGTCATGTGATCAGATGTCGGTAACAGATATATTGTTTTTGAAATAGAATTACACAGAGGTCAATATCTTTTGTTTTCTTCTGAATGAATATCTGTGTAACATATAATTATCTTTAATCGATCGGCTACATGTTAAAGGAAAAAGTAAACGTCACTGTGACTAAATATACTTAATATATCTTTGGATAGCAAGATAGCATGACAATCTCGATAGCCATCTTGTTGTTATTTCTCTCAATAGATAATCTCAACAGCTAAATTGTCGTTATATCTCTCACCAGATAATCTCGACAGCTGAATTGTCGTTATATCTCTCACCAGATAATCTCGACAGATGAATTGTCGTTATATCTCGCACCAGATAATCTCGACAGCTAAATTGTCGTTATATCTCGCACCAGATAATCTCGACAGCTTATTGTGGTTATATCTCTCACCAGATAATCTCGACAGCTTATTGTCGTTATATCTCTCACCAGATAATCTCGACAGCTTATTGTCGTTATATCTCTCACCAGATAATCTCGACAGCTTATTGTCGTTATATCTCGCACCAGATAATCTCGACTGCTCAATTGTCGTTATATCTCTCACCAGATAATCTCGACAGCTTATTGTCGTTATATGTCTCACCAGGTAATCTCGACAGATGAATTGCCGTTATATCTCTCACCAGATAATCTCGACAGATTAATTGTCGTTATATCTCTCACCAGATGATCTCGACAGCTTATTGTCGTTATATCTCTTACCAGATATTGTCGTTATATCTCTCACCAGATAATCTCGACAGCTTATTGTCGTTATATCTCTCACCAGAAAAACTCGCCACTGAATTGTCGTTATATCTCGCACCAGATAATTTCGATAGCTTATTGTCGTTATATCTCTTACCAGATAATCTCGACAGATTAATTGTCGTTATATCTCGCACCAGATAATCTCGACAGATTAATTGTCGTTATATCTCTCACCAGAAAAACTCGCCACTGAATTGTCGTTATATCTCGCACCAGATAATTTCGATAGCTTATTGTCGTTATATCTCGCACCAGATAATCTCGACAGATGAATTGTCGTTATATCTCGCACCAGATAATCTCGACAGCTTATTGTCGTTATATATCTCACCAGGTAATCAATATCATTAATTCGATTTGGGCAATATTGGCTACCCTACTTTTAATTATCAAAAAATACTAAAATCAAAATATCCAACTTCATTCTTGGAAACCAAACTTTTAACATGGTGTTATGTACCGTACAGGGCCCGTAAAACTTCCAAACCCAACGACGTCCTACCCGGATTTACGACATTTTTTAGTTTGTTTTGGTATCGAGTCAGCTTATGTTATGCAATTACAATTTTTTGTGTAAAGCTTTATTGAGAGTTTGTCTTAAAAAGTACAAGCTGACACTTATTAATTTCAGAGTTGATGTTCAGAATATCACACATATGTCTATTAAGATTTAATTTTAGGGCCTGACTTACAACTGAATATATTAATGGGTACTCTGGGGTCACGACAACAATTAGAAAAATCAATAAATAGTATTATGGAAATGACCAAGTTCATGAATAAATTAAATCTAAATTTATGATTCCGTGAAACCTCAAGAGTAAAACAAAATATACAACCAGGTCAGAAAATAGGTAAGTCATATCATTAGCTTATCCTATCGCAAATAAGCATGTAAGGGAGATAATCTATCTGGTTTTTCATAGTATACTGCCTGTCTCGCAGATTAACATACACAAATGACTAATGAATAGAAAGTGGTTAAATTAATGTCAGCCATTGGGTGTTGGTGATGAATAATCGAAAAAAATCAATAAATATCGTGGGGTATACATTGATTTCACGGATAGTCTAATTCCACGAATTTATATGTAAAACTTAAATAATAAACAGTTTAAAATGACATGGATATAGAATTAGTGATTTTGTGATCATAATATAAACGAAAAAAGTGCCCATAAAAATACGTATTTTGAAAAATTACGAAATTTATGATTTTACAGTACTAGCTCAGGTTATTGAAAAAATACCATCTCTAAAGTTTGTGAAATATTTTGTCCTGTAAACAGCTAGAGTCATTTTGAAGCGCTGTCCTGTAGTATGAGGTTGTTACCTTACTGAACATAATGCGGAATATCCGCCATATGTTATACAAAGCAATCAGGATGAATCGTCTTGCCGAAGAAAATAACCTCGGAAGTAATGAACAGTCCATGTTTTCAGCATCTCGAACCACATTCCACGGATCTTCGCTTGAAGTTGCAACGGCCGATGTTCCACCAAGAATGTTTCATTAAAGCAACTTAAAAACATGAAACAACGTATCTTTTGAGTTAACACGTTAATAACTATAAATTTTATTAAAGAGCGAATTTTATTCTAAGAATTGGATACATATGACACAAATAAATAAAACCTTTCAATACAGATTTTGAATCAGACACAGTTTAGCCAAAATAATTCAACTTGATCATAACGCTGTTTTGTCCTAAGTCTTGATTCTAATGGACTAACTTGGAAATAATTCATCTACATGTCTGTCTAAGCCTTGTGTTGTAAGGATTTTTGCTCGTGTTTCTCAACAACCTGCATCTGTCTAAACCTTGTTGTAAGTTTTCTTTTGCTCGAAGTATTGTATTGGCAAGGTTTTTGCTCATTGTCTTCAGTAACTTTCATCTGTCGAAACCTTTTGTCGTAAGTTTTACCGTCAATAATTAATATCCAGCACGGATATCATAGAATTTAGCCTTACAAGAAGGCAGGGAAGTTACTAACGAGAAACGGGAAATTGTTAAAAAGGAAATTGACATAGTTCCGCTTTCTATAAGGTGTTCCGACTGGTTACGTTGTAAGATCAAGGCGTTATCCTTATGTACCTTGTCTATGATTTTCACTGTGATCCGCGTGTAACATTTTCACTGTGATCCGCGTGTAACATTTTCACTGTGATCCGTGTGTAACATTTTCACTGTGATCCGCGTGTAACATTTTCACTGTGATCCGTGTGTATTATTTTCACTGTGTACTGTGTAATAATTTCACTGTGATCCGTGTGTAACATTTTTCACTGCGTACCGTGTGTAGCACTTTTCACTGTGCACCGTGTGTAACATTTTTCACTGTGTACCATGTGTAACATTTTCACTGTGTACCGTGTGCAACATTTTTCACTGTGTACCGTGTGTAACATTTTCAACTGTGTACCGTGTGCAACATTTTTCACTGTGTACCGTGTGTAGCACTTTTTACTGTGCACCGTGTGTAACATTTTTCACTGTGTACCGTGTGTAAATATTTCATTGTGTACTGTGTTTAACACAACTTTATAGTGTGCCATGTGTAGGGTTTTCATTGTGTGCTGTATGAAGATAAAATTGTATTATTATAACATATTCTTCCTAATATATCCCTCGATACCACCTCACCTTTGCCCGTTAGGTGGGCGTTGGCCCCTGTGAGAAAGGCTTTGGATTTT